CTTGTAAATAGGTATTATCATTTGCCATTTTTCCATTATCCGGCACTATGCCAGTTTTGTAATTGCATATGTTAAAAAGATTAGCCATAGGTATGCTACGTTCCTCTTTTACATTCCTTTAACACCTTTCAATCAGTTCATCAGGCCTGGGGATTCGTTAGGTTTTTGTTTATTAAATTTGTTCGAGGACTATATCAATAGTTACCGCAATCGTACATTTTTAGTTTATCATTCTGTTCTACATAATCTATTATTTCAGGAATATCGCTAGTATTTTCCTGGGTGAAAACAACCGGTTGGTTAGAACCAAGCTCTGTCATAAGTCGGATGGTACTAATACATTATTTAAGTATGCATACTGGTCAGAGAGCCCATCACAAGTCCACGTGTCGGTAACGAGTACAGACAGGCTAAGTGAGGAGAGGCTATATATACCCATAACATCAGATGTTATTATCAGTGTCAGATATATTATTTGTTGCTCAGTAGTCTGAGAGAATTTTTCTAACCTCTATATTCATAAAGATTAGAGGGAAGAGGAGCGATTGGTGGAATGATGATGTGAAGAGAGTAGTAAGGGAGAAAAAGTTAGCATATGAGAAGTTTTTACAAAGTAGAAGTGATGTAAGGAGGGAAGAGTATATGGAGAAAAAGAGAGAGGTTAAGAGAGTGGTGAAGCAAAGTAAAAGAGACGAAAATGAGAGACGTTGGGTGACGATGTTATCACAAATTATGTGAAAATAAGTAAAAGTTATTGGAGTGAGATTAACAAGTTATGGAAGCCTAGAGAACCTCATAATGGATTTGTCAAGTTAAAAATAGGAGTGGGAGGAGTTATTAAATGGAGAATTAGAGGTATTGGGAAGATGGAGGGATAATTTTGAGGAATTGTTAAATGTTGATGAAGATAGGGGAAGTCGATGATTTGTGTATAGGAGCAGGAGGATCAAACATCTGTAGGAGTGAGGAAGCGCAGTTGCGAGTGTGGGGGAGAGTTGTGAGGCAGTACGGGTAAAATGACAGGGGGTAAGGCAGCCGGATTAATGGGATAAGATAGAATAAGTTAAAGCAGGTGGGGATTTAGTTTTGTGAGTGGTTGTGCAATTATTTAATAAAATGCTATGGGAAGAGGCCGTTGTAAGGTACCTTGGGAATCGGCAGAGAGCATTGCTCATACTTCCTTGTGTATAAAGCTAAGGGGATAAAAAAGCGTGCAAAAATTATAGGGGGATAAGTCTGTTGATATAGGTAGGTAGGTTCGGTAGACAGCAACCTCCAAGGGAGGTACTGTACCGTCCTGCCAAGTGAGTGTAAAACGAAAGCCTGTAATGTTTTACATGATGTAGGATTGCTGGCTGTCCTTTTTCTCTGTCTCATGAACATGCTAAGATTTCAGGTAAGTCTTGTCTTCTACTTACACTTACGGGTTCACACTACAACATACTTGTAAAAGACATTATATACACACTCCCTTCTGGGTTTCTTTTATTTCTTTCTAGTTCTTATTTGTTTATTTCTCTTTTCTTCTGAGGAAGTGGAACAGACATAACCCCCCCCCCTCGTCAGCCATGGTGTTGTAGAGGCGACTAATAATGCCGGGTGCAAGGGGCTAGTAACTCTCTCCTGTACCTATTTTACTAAATGTAAACGGAGAAACTTTTGTTTTTATCCTTTTGGCACCACTCAGTGGGATACGGCCGGGTGTGTTGAAAGAAAGAATGAAGAAGTCTGTTGGCTATTCCTGGACCTAAGTGTATGGTAGAGTTATTATTGAAAAGGTAATAAGAGTAAGACGGAGAATAGGATAGCAGGATGAACAAGGAGGCTTTTAGAAAGGTAGGGGGTGTGAGGACCAGTGTTTACAGTGAAAAAACATTATAAGTGAACAGTATTTTTGGATAAAGGCTATACAGAAGGACTTTGTGGCTTTCTATGGATTTGATAAAGGCGTATGGACAGGTGGAAGGGGGGTCAATGTGGCAGAGTTGCGGTGTATGGTGTAGGAGGTTGGTTACTGAAAGCAGTGATGAGATTTTTACGCGATAGTGAGGCTCTAAGTTAGAGTATGTAGAAAGAGGGAAATTGTTTCCCTAGTAAAAGTATGGCCTTAGACAAGGATGTGTGATGTCACCGTGGGTTTATATTTATTTATAGATGGGAGTTGTAAGAGAAGTAAATGCGAGGGTCTTGGCAAAAAAGGGGGAAGGGGGGCGTGGAGTTAAAAAGATAATGAATCACACAAGTGGAGTTGTCACAGTTGCTCTTGCTGATGGAAACTGTGCTCTTGGGAGATTTGATGAGGCAAAGTTGCAGAGATTGGTGGATGAATTTGGTAGGGCGTGCCACAAAAGCAAGGGAAAATTGAAAGTGAATACAGGGAAAGAGTAAGGTTATGAGGATAACAAAAAGATTAGGTGATGAAGATTGGATATCAGATTGGGGGAGAGAGTCATGAGGGGTGAAGTATTCAGATATTGGGAGTGGGACGTGTCAGCGGCATGGGTCTATGAAAGATGCGGTGAATCATAGAATTGATGCCCCCAGGGGAAAGGGGTGAGTGTGCACTTAGGAGTCTGTGGAGACAAAGTGCTTTGTCCTTGGAGGCAAAGAGGTGAATGTATGAGAGTATAGTTTAACAACCGCTCTTGATGGGTGTGAAGCATGGGTGATGAATGTTGCAGCAGGAGAAGGCTGGAGGCAGTGGAGATTGTCATGTCTGAGAGCAATGTGTGGTGTGAATATAATGCAGAGAATTGTTAGTTTGGAAGTTAGGAGGAGGTGCGGGATTACCAAAAAACTGTTGTCCAGAGGGTGAGGAAGGGTTGTTGAGGTGGTTCGGACATGTGGAGAGATGGAGCGAAACAGAATAACTTCAAGAGTGTATCAGTCTTTGTGGGAAAGGAAGGGGGGTAGCCGGGTCTGCCTAGGAAAGGGTTGAGAGGGAGGGGGTAAAGGAGGTTTTGTGTGCGAGGGCTTGGACTTCCAGCAGGCATGCAGTGAGGTGTTAGATAGGAGTGAATGGAGGACAAATGGTTTTTAATACTTGCAGTTGCTGTTTGGAGTGTGAGCAAAGTAAAATTTATGAAGGGGTTCAGGGAAACCGACAGGCCGGGGACTTGAGTCCTGGAGATGGGAAGTACAGCTGCCATGCACTCTGAAGGGGGGGTGTTAATGTTGCAGTTTAAAAACTGTAGTGTAAAGCACCCTTCTGGCAAGACAGTGATGGAGTGAATGATGGTGAAAGTTTTTCTTTTTCGGGCCACCCTGCCTTGGTGGGAATCGGCCAGTGTGATAATAATAATAATAAGTTGTACATGCTTAAATCAGTCCTGAATTTTCTGTCATTTAAGAAAAATTTGTTTTTTTTTTTTACCTCAATTTTCCATCAAATTATATACTTTTTGTTTTATTACCTTCAGAAAAAGATTCTCTACCATTTCATGAGAAAAATTTTTTTTTTTTTTTTTGAAGATTTTTGGACACTGTGGACACTTCTCAGATCAGAGTTTGGGCACTTTAAGTGAAAAGAACCTGTCTACCTTTGTTCATTGACAAACACGTAACTTCTTAGTTAAGCAGTCACTTCTGGATCCTCACTTCTTGTAATACCCCCCCCCACCCCCCCCTTACTGAATAATTATATGTTCATTCCACAAAAGGTCTAATTCTTAGCATTCTCTTAAATGCTTTTAAACTTTTAATGTAAGGCTCACAGGGAAGAGAAATGACTGAGACATTGGTAAGGAGAGAGGAAGAGAACAGAGTGAGACTTGGCAAGTTGAAAGGAAGAGATGGGGGTAAGAGAATATGATGGAGAGATCAGAAGGAAAATATATGGAGACTTAGGATGGGTGTGCAGGTAGGATTACAGGTTGATCAAAGGTAAGGTATATGGAGTGACCTAGGATGGTTGAGAGGGCAGCATTACAGGCCGTTAGTGGTCTCCTGGTTATCCAGTAAGATCCGGCAGTCTTACATGATGTGAGGATCGCTGTGCTGCTGCTTGTCTGCTAACATAATGTGGGTCATCCCTGAGCATTATTAGAGAGTGTCCGTCAGGCTTGTCAGGTGTGGATCGTACCCCCCACCAGCCACTTACAACATCTTAGATTATAATCAAAATGAAGCATAAACCAAAGGGGCTATACAAGCTCTACACCTGAGCTAGTTGAGAAGTCTTCCCCCTTTGAGAAACCCTCGACCATGCTTGAGGGCTTATTCACTCCCTGAGGTGCTGCCTTCACAGACTTACAAGCTTGTCCTGTCCACAACTCACCTGTTATTCGGATGGGTCAGGGATAGGAGATTGATGAAGGTTAGCAGGGATAGGAGAGAAATGGAGAGGAAAAAGAAGAAATACAATGGGGACTACATTATCAGAATGGGGGTGAAATAAACTCCTAAGATGTATAACAGTATAATCTTTTCATTTTTTCGTGTGAATAAAAAAATTCAAAATAGAATTCATGTTGTAAAAAGCCTGGGAGCATAACTAATAAAAGAGAAAGTCAGTATTGTTTATTACAGGGACTTATTTTGAATATCGGTCACAAATTACAAATATTCTGATTACTGAATAGTTAAAATAGTCGGACTGGGGTGGTTTTTTGCGGGTGCACTCAATTAAAATCGAAGACATTGCTAGCAAGATAGCTAAGAATTTGCGTTGGACTGGAACTACATAATTGCTTCTAAATGTGACTAAAATGGGGCAAAATTCCTGATATGTAAATATGCTGACATAGCAAAATTTGCAAAATGCACAATTTCATCAATTCACCATAAAATTTTTTGTTTTTTATTACCTTCAGAAAAAGATTCTCTACCATTTCAAAAGAATTTTTTTTTTTCTGAAGATTCTTTGACACTGTGGACACTTAAGATCAGGAATCTGGACACTCAAGAAGTTAAAGATCTATTCACCTTCATTCTTGACTACACACATTCTTTAATAAGCAGTCACCTCTCGGATCTCACTTCTTATACATACAATCCTGTAATGAAAATTATAATTTATTCACAAAAGTCTATTTATATCATTTCTCTTAAAAACCTTAAACTTTTACTGCTCACAGGGAAGAAATGAGGGTGAGAGTTGGTAAGCAGAGAGGAAGAGACAAGAGTGAGACTTGGTAAAGAGAGAGGAAGAGATGAGGGCATGAGAATACGAGGGAGAGATCAGAGGGAAAATATACGGAGAGACTTAGGATGGGTGTGCAGGTAGGATTACAGGCTGATCAAAGGTAAGGTACATGGAATGACTTAGGATGACAGAGGGCAGGATTACAGGCCGTTAGTGGTCTCCTGGTTATCCAGTAAGATCCGGCAGTCTTACATGCTGTGAGGATCGCTGTGCTGCTGCTTGTCTGCTAACATAATGTGGGTCATCCCTGAGCATTATGAAGAGAGTGTCAGTCAGGCTTGTCAGGTGAGGACTCGTCCCCCCCACCAGCCACTTACTAGACCTTAGGTTATACTCAGAATGAAGTGCTAAAGCACAAGGGCTATACAGCACTACACCCTAGAGGTAGGTGAAAAGTCTTCCCCCCTTTGAGAAACCCCCGAGGGTAACCCATTGGGGAACCAGTGGGGGACCATGCTTGCGGGCTTATTCCACTCCCTGAGGTGCTGCCTCTCACAGACTTACATGCTTGTCCCTGTCCACAACTCCACCTGCATTAGGATGGGCGAGGATAGGAATATGCAGGTTAGCAGGGATAGAGAAAGGGAGAGGGAAGAAAAGGAAATGCAATGGATACTACATTATCAGGATGGGGGTGAGCTAAACTCTTAAGGGTTATGCAGTACCTTATGAGAATATAAGGCAATAATCACAAAAAAAAAGGTGATCTCCAATTCCTTGACTCAAGACACCTTTCATTAAGGGTTCAATCCAGGTAAAGCAGACAGTTCTAATTCCTTGGTTCAAGAGCCCAGAGTACAAAAGGATACAAGTTGAAACTTGGGAGTGCTGGTAATACAGCACTGCCTGGTTCATGACAGGTTCAATTCCTTGCATTAAGGATCCTCCCAGCCATTGTTCTTGACCATGTACTAATGTTCATCACAAAGCAGTCACCTCCCTGGGTCCTCACTTCTCCACACAATCCTGTAATGAAAATTATAATTTATTCACAAATTCAAATCATTACATTTCTTAGAAAACTCTGACATGTTAAAATATATTTATACCAAAATTAAAATTACGTCTTCAGTGCAACAGTAAGGCTGCCCTCTATCAACTGATAACAAGAAAGCCAATAAAATTGCAAAAATCATCCTAGAAAACACCTCAATGTTGCTAGTACCCAGGCACCTCATCACTAGTACCCAAGCAGCACTAACAATACATATTGCTACTGGTCTCATTTTTCCATTCAGATTTCAAGACATACACAATTAGCTTAACCCTTTTGCTGACTGCTCCATAGTACTACAGCTTTGAGGTAACTGTCTGTGCCATAGTACTACACCAAAATTCTAGAGGCTCATAAGGCTGAGAAGGCTCATAGGCCTACATATGAGAGAATGGGTCTACTTGGTCAGTTAGCACAGTAAACAAAAAATCAGGGTGCCCACAGTGCATTGTGGGAACGCCACTTAGTACCCATTGTTCACCATGCCTTACAATAAGAAAACCCTCACTCCCTGTCGAACTGGGAATCTCCTCTTCCCAAATGACAGTTCTAATATGGATGGAAGTGATCCAAAGAGGAATTCTATGGTTTTGAATGAATTGTGACCAAAAGCAATGCTCAGGATATCAAAAATAGTGAGCAAAACCTTGATGGCCCTCAACCTTCCACTGGTCCATCTGGGTCACATTTAGTTGCACCTTACCATAAGCATAAGCTTGTATTTTCCCATGGCCAGGTCTCAGATCTGAGTAATGGTGATGACAAGGTGGATTTTGATTTTCTTGCTCTTGATGGCCATTCAAGTAGCGACAACAAGGAAGAACATTCACCAGTGATGCCGCATGCAGTCTGGTAGTGTGCCATATGCAATTCCAAGTGGACGGAATACATCCCATGGCCCAACACCAGGAACAGTGTGACAATTATGTGGCTACAATTGGGATGGATAATATACCACACACATCAGTAGGTGGTGGTGGTGCCATGCGGGGTGCAGCACTAGCAACAGCCAGACTGGAACCCATACTGCTGACTCAGCACATCCATGACCCAGGGCATCCTCAACCAGCCCCACACAACCTGCACAACCACAGCTAGCTATTAACATCCAGTACTCACCAGCAAACCACATCTGAGATTGGCAGGAAAATGCAAATTTTGTGCCCCATCCCCATCAATTTGATGACAATAACAGTGGAATCCTGCCAAATTGTACCCTTGGAAACACTGCATGTGAAGTGGAATTCTTTGAACTGTTATTTGACAAACTCTGGTGGTAAATGTCAGTGAAAACAACAGGTACAATGATTATACAATGGTTTTACCACAGTCACAACTACACTGGTGAAAGGAGACAACTGTGGCTGAGATGTATTTGTTTTATGCCACAATAATGCTTATGCCACGTATGTATAAGCACAATATTCAATTATACCAGTCCACTGACCTCTTAATTTCTACCCCAGACTTCAGTAATATTATCCTCATCAACAGACTTCTACTGTTACGTATGCTACACTTCTCTGATAAAAGACCTGACAGCAACCACAGATTATACAAGATAAGAATGTTTTTATGCATTTTATGCATTAATTGGTTGTGTTGGGAGCAGTTCGACTTTTGAGGTTCCACTGTATTAATAATTATTATTATTATTATTACAATAATACATATGCACTAATATTAATATTATTAAACTTAAATATAATAATCATGTCCACTCATTACTTACCTTAAAATATCTGTAGTCTTAATGTAGAGTGAGAGGTGAGTAAACAAGATTAAATGAGAGAGAATGAGAGGGTAGAAGGTTGGCGAGTTATGTAAAGAAACGTCGTTGTTGTTACCAGCCCGGACACGAATGGTTTCTGTTCACTCTGTCAAGCCGACCAGAAAAACATCTCATATTTGTTAAGTTATATGTTTATATGTTATGTAGCATGTTTATTATATAATTTTGAAAAAGAAATCATAGATGGATTAAGCAAAATGCCTACATTTAATGCACCTCAGTGATTATTATTGTGTTATTATCATTATTAATATGGCATTTTCAAGACCAATTACACTCTTAATGAGTGACTCAGAGAGACAAGCAGACAGAAAGACAGACACAGGTAGACAGAAAGACAAACACACAGGTAGACAAAAAGGCATACACAGGTAGACAGAAAGACACACAGGTAGACATAAAGACAGACACAAGTAGACAGACACAGAGGTAGACAGAAAGACACACACAGGTAGAAAGACACAGGTAGACAAAGACAGACACAGGTAGACATAAAGACAGACACAGAGGTAGACAGAAAGACAGACACACAGGTAGACAAAGACAGACACACAGATACAGACAGACAGATAAACAGACACACAGAGATACAGAAATATACAGGCAGATACAGACAGGTTTATGTGCAACAGTGAAAACAAATTGAGAGTTTGAGAGTAAGAGCCTTTCTTGCCACAATCTCCAGTGCAAGATTCAGACTTCATCTTAGGGGCCATGGTGAAATTTACTGTCCAGATAGTACAGTTAATACAGTATGATGCTGCTGATAGGACAGGGTTATTCAAACTGATACTGCCTGCATGACACATTGCCGCCGCGAGTATCGTCAAATATTGTACAGTGGTGTGCATCAGCTGGCCCAGCCAAGCTGCCAGATGCACGGTCGTAAGTCGAGTGGACTTATGTCGAGCAGGACGTAAGTCGTAAGTATTTGGAAAAACTCGCACATGGACACACTCGCAAGTAGAGGCTCCACTATACATGTCAGCTATGGTCTGTATACCTTGTACATGTATGTACTTGTATACCTTGTACATGTACTTGTATACCTTGTACATGTACTTGTATACCTTGTACATGTATTTGTATACCTCGTACATGTACTTGTATACCTTGCACATGTACTTGTATACCTTGTACACGTACATGTACTTGTATACCTTGCACATGTACTTGTATACCTTGTACATGTACTTGTATACCTTGCACATGTACTTGTGTACCTTGTACATGTACTTGTATACCTTGCACATGTACTTGTATACCTTGCACATGTACATGTACTTGTATACCTTGCACATGTACTTGTATACCTTGTACATGTACTTGTATACCTTGTACATGTACTTGTATACCTTGTACATGTACTTGTATACCTTGTACATGTACTTGTATACCTTGTACATGTACTTGTATACCTTGTACATGTACTTGTATACCTTGTACATGTACTTGTATACCTTGCACATGTACTTGTATACCTTGCACATGTACTTGTATACCTTGTACATGTACTTGTATACCTTGCACATGTACTTGTATACCTTGTACATGTACTTGTATACCTTGCACATATACTTGTATACCTTGTACATGTACTTGTATACCTTGTACATGTACTTGTATACCTTGTACATGTACTTGTATACCTTGTACATGTACTTGTACAAATACAGATTAATACTGAACAATGGAAATAAGTCACTGACTTTTTTTGGGTTATCCTGGGCTCTTTACACATATACTGCTATGTGTGATAATCTATATAACTACACATATACTGCTATGTATGATAATCTGTGTAACTACACACACACTGCTATGTATGATAATCTGTGTAACTACACACACACACTGCTATGTATGATAATCTGTGTAACTACACATACACTGCTATGTATGATAATCTGTGTAACTACACACACACTGCTATGTATGATAATCTGTGTAACTACACATACACTGCTATGTATGATAATCTGTGTAACTACACACATGCTGCTATGTATGATAATCTATGTAACTACACATACACTGTTATGTATGATAATCTATGTAACTACACACATACTGCTATGTAAAATAATCTATGTAACTACACACATACTGCTATGTAAAATAATCTATGTAACTACACACATACTGCTATGTAAAATAATCTATGTAACTACACATACACTGCTATGTATGATAATCTATGTAACTACACACATACTGCTATGTAAAATAATCTATGTAACTACACACATACTATGTAAAATAATCTATATAACTACACATACACTGCTATGTATGATAATCTATGCAACTACACATACACTGCTATGTATGATAATCTATGTAACTACACATACACTGCTATGTATGATAATCTATGTAACTACACATACACTGTTACGTATGATAATCTATGTAACTACACATACACTGTTACGTATGATAATCTATGTAACTACACATACACTGTTACGTATGATAATCTATGTAACTACACATACACTGTTACGTATGATAATCTATGTAACTACACATACACTGTTATGTATGATAATCTATGTAACTACACATACACTGTTACGTATGATAATCTATGTAACTACACATACACAGTTACGTATGAATAATCTATGTAACTACACATACACTGTTACGTATGATAATCTATGTAACTACACATACACTGCTATGTATGATAATCTATGTAACTACACATACACTGCTATGTATGATAATCTATGTAACTACACATACACTGCTATGTATGATAATACTATGTAACTACACATACACTGTACGTATATAATCTATGTAACTACACATACACTGCTATGTATGATAATCTATGTAACTTACACAAACACAGCTAATTGTATGATATATCTATGTAACTACACATACATGCTATGTATGATAATCTATGTAAACTACTACATACACTGCTTATTTGATAATCTATGGTAACTACACATACACTGTATGTAATGAAATCAGTAACTACACATACACTGTTACGTATGATAATCTATGTAACTGTACTTGTGTTAACCTTGAATAAACAAACTTACATTGACCTTCTAATAAGCAGGTAATTTACACTGTGAAATTGGGGACTACATTGTACCTTATCAAACTTACTCCACTCATTTCTCTGGTAACTTTGGTAATTACTCGCTGGTATATGAGTCATAATAATAAAAATTATCAACATAAAATATGGCTACTGTGTATATTACATGTTTATAATAACTTATTTATGAACTTAACTAAACTTAATTAAAACCCACCCCAAAAATACTAGAGTTACCTGGAAATTTTCCGGGGTCAAACGCCCCCGCGGCCGGGTTGTGACCCAGGCCTCCTGTGGATCAGGCCTTTCACCAGCTGTTCTGCTGCTGCACCAAACCAACGTACGACCACAGCCCGTGAGCTTCAGGTTATTTGTGTAGGTTCTTTTAATAAAAATTTTGAAGTAAAATTACTTTTAGTCACATTTAAATATATACCATTATTTAAGTCTATCTAAGTCACTAAATCCACATGGCGCTTTTGATTAAAATATATTACGAATTACGTCAGGAAATTATTTATTCTAGTCTACTGAGACATCAAGGAAGGGGGGGTTGCCTTGATACCACTGAAGGGCTCCTGATCAAATTAAGAAGCTGACTCTTCCCTTGTATTACCTCCTATCCAAAGGACACATTTTGCAATCCCACGTATGAACAATACAATTTATAACAGTCAGTAAACCTTTCAAAAATATTTTTAAGACATCAATCTGCCTCACTGTGACAATTAAACAATAATACATACCAGGTAGTTTTCCACAGGCTTCCTATCTATTTCCACTTGCTGCCTCATGGTTTTGCACTCACCCATGATTTCAGACTCACTGCTTCTGGCTACCTCTTCTTGCTATGGCTTCCCTTACTTCACAATCACATATTCATCAACTGTAAGAACAGAAACAAATTCTTTCAAAAATAATAGAAACAAATTATTCTATAAGAGTGAAAATTCCTTAGGAATCGACCTGACCTAAAAAGATCACTCAAATTTCAACACATATACAACAAAATTCCAAAAAAATTCCAAGACCGTAGCATACTATCGAATAATACAGTAACATGTTCCACAATCAGCCCTCCTGGCCCTATATCACTCACTTATTTACCCCTATCTCACCTATGGAATTTGTGCATGGGGCTCAACAACAATAAACCATCTCAGACCACTAATCACCCAACAAAAGGCTGCAGTCAGAATGATAACAAATTCCCACTACAGACAACACACTCCACCAATATTCAAAACTCTAAACCTACTCACAATACAAAACATCCATACTTATTACTGCACCTACTACATACATAGAACACTTAACTCTGACATAAAGCCTCCCGTCAAACATCTCCTTACCAACCTTAACAGAACACATGACCATAACACAAGGCACAGATCACTCTTTGATGTTCCTCATGTCCATCTCGCGCTATGCAAAAACTCAATGCACATAAACGGCCCTAAAATCTGGAATTCATTACCTGTGAATATAAAAGAAACACTGTTTATAAATTCAAGTCTCTTCTCAAAAATCACTTACTCACCCACAACTAAATAAATACTGAATAATTGTATCTCATAAATTGTATCTCATAAATTGTATGTCATATATGTATCTCATTATTGTATCTCATAAATGTCAACCTGTGACCCAATCAAACTTTGTTACTATTTAACCCTTAAACGGTCCAAACGTATATATACGTTCACGTGCGTAGCGCCCCAAACGTATATATACGTTTTATTTTTCATTCGTTCAAAATTAGCGCGATAGGCCTGAGTCGCCTAGACATGAGAGAATGGGTGTGCGCAGTATACAAAAAATCTGGGACACCTGGGTACCACATGGTAGGACCAGTTACATTCAGCTCCATCCTGGGTCAACATCATGGCACATCCTCGTGATTCACTCACGCCTCATTGTATTAACACTCTACTATTCGAGTGTTTAGTGGATTTGACACCAATGGGGCCAGTAATATTCAAGGAATTAGTGAAAATATCGACGATAACCCAGATGACCCCCAGCCCATCACCTCTGGGGTAGTGACACCTGTCCTAGGGCCAAGCACCTCTGGGGTAGCCAGTGTGGCCACATCAGACCCTAGGCCAAGCACTTCTGGGGTGGCCAGTGTGGCCACAGAAGACCCTGGGCCAAGCACCTCTATAGTGGCAAGTGTTACCCATAGGCAACTTTGCAAGAGGAAACTATCATTTTCCTGGTGTTTTAGTAGTGATAGTGAAAGTGATGTAAGTGATGATGAGATTGATTTTATGCCAATTGAGGATTCGTCTAGTGATAGTGACGTTCATTATTCACTAGTGAAACGTACTTTTAGGTGTCGTTATCTACGTTCAGGCAGTGTGCCATATGCAATCCCCAAGGGTCGTGGCAGGTCACGATCCAAAACCCCGGCCACTGATAGTGAAAGTGATCACAAAGGGGAGTATGCGGGGATGGAGGAAGTAGTGGTGGGTGGCATTGTGCCTGGACCACATGGCGCAGTGGGTGGACAGACAAAGGACCGCCCGGCACTCCCTCAACCATGTGCTGCCTCCACTCCTCTCCCTCCTCCTCCTGCCCCCGTCGCCCCATGCCACAGGTCCACCCTGCACCATGTGATTGTGAGTGGAACTGGACACAAAGTATATTCGTGCCAAAGCCTTGTGATTTTGATGCTAGTGGAAGTGGTATCCAGCCAGAAAGTCCCATAACGAATGAGTCTACAGAGTTAGACTATTTCCAGTTGTACTTTGACGACCCATAATGAACTTGTAGGACTCAACAAACTTTTTTACCAAT